ATGTGAAAGACAATATGAAAGGAAAAGGAAGAGTAGCCCACTTCATGTCTGTGGATGGAAAGGAGAGAGAGGATCGAGGTTATGACTCTGAGGCATTTACTAATAATCTTGCTGCCTCAGAAACATAAAAGGAGTTTTGAAAGCGCTCTCCAAAAGCTAAAGTAGCTAGTCTAGGCAAAAAAAAAAAAAAAAATGCAATCAAAATTAAAGTCAAATAAATAGATCGCCATAAAAAAGGGTACCCCATCGCTGCAAGAGCCAAAGGTCAGGGAGAGCCTGAGGGAGAATGTCTTTTTCAAGCCGAGTCCTCTGTGAAGAGGGTCAGCTGGGAGCAGCTAAGACCGTGCTATGCGGTGGATCGGGAGCTGCGAGGTTACCCAACGAGTGGAGCAGCGAACATGAAGTCGGCGCTCTGCTCACATTCCCTAGAGCCTATTGCATTGTAAATTCCAAAGGCTCATAAAAGAAAAACTACATCTTTAATACACGAACTGGGGTGGTCTGGTGCACTGAGGCCAAGCCACTCACGAGCGGCACATAAGCAGAGGCGATGTCCGGCGGTATATGGATTAGATGGGAAGGTCGCTGATCTCCCAGGGTCAGAGCCTTCCCGTTGGTTATTGCTGGTACATTGCCTGAAATTTTTCTTCTTTTGATAACGGATTCTTTTGTTTCAACGCCTTACCCAGAATCCTCTGGTCACTTTAAAGTCTCTCCCTCGACTCATTTTCTTTTCTGTTGACAAGGGTCCTGGTCTACAAAAAGGTCTTCATTGATCTGCACTGAAATAAAAAAAACAAGCAAGCATGATGAGAATCTTTTTCATGTTGCTTTTGTGGGGGTTCTTGACACAGCACCCAAAGGCCTGGCTTTATTGTGCTGACTGCTTTAAATGGTGGGAGACTAGAAACGTCCTGATCACTCCCCACCTTCCTTTCCTCTTCCTTGCTTCACTCCAGAAGCATACCATAGAACCTGGAAGTCCTCTTCCCCAAGATGGGTCACAGAAACTGTGCTTCCTCTTCTTGTCGTGCCGAAGGGGCCCTCTCTGTCCTTTCTGCTCTTAAAGTAGGCCACCAGACCCTCATCCCAGACCCTCCCTAAGGAGACCTGGTAGAATCTGAACAGAAGCCTTGCTTTTCTGGTCCCCTCGTTCATCACCATCTGTTTGTACATGTCTTGTCCAATCACCAGCTTGCCCTGTGTCATCCAACAGAAACATAAAATTACACACAGGAGTAGCCCCCACCCCCCCCCCGTGTCCCTTAGGGACAGTACTATATGTTTTCAACCCCGGAGTGTATTTCTTTTAACCAGTTCTCTCTCAGCCTAAAATGAGGCTCTTTCTGCCTTCAGTGCGATTAAATACCCTTCCTTTATGAAGCGGTAGGGGTAAAAGATGGTAGGCAGCTCTTCACTTAAAGGCCCTGTGTTGGTCTTGATGTTTTCCCTATGTTTTAGGTAATCAGTAAGTCTAGAGAGCTCTCATAGCCTGGCCTGCCACCTCTTAGTAAGGTCCATCAGAGCTACCCCATCGTCAGCCTAACTACAAAGCTGCTTTCCTAAAGCCTTCCTCAGAGGGGAATCACACAGCGTCACAGAGACTTCCGTCAACATTCCCCAGGGCCCCATCCCCGTGACGTGAAGCCTGCTCAGTCTCAAGGTCTGACTCTCCTGCAGAGTTCTGCTGCCAAGACCCAGCCCCTATAGACTCAGTGGCTAACTTCCCTCTCTCCCAGTCCTAACAGCTTCACTGCTCTTCATTCAAGACCTCCATTACCCCAGCTCCCACACCCCCTCCCCCTACCAGTCCTGTGAAAATCTCTGTTACCCAGGCCTGAGAGCCAGAGATCTCCTCAAGGAGGTCTCCACTGGCTTCTCCAGCTGGAGACATCTCTGCCTACATTCTGGTCCTTCTAGGGACCCAAGGGGCACTCACTGTCAGGAGACAAACTTTCACCTATATGACTACTTTGTATTCTCTTTGGGTTCTCAGTACCCTTGTGTGCAGAAACTGATGGATAACTAGACATGAAGATACCCTGAGGACTCCCACTCATTCCCGGCCTTCCTTCTTTACAAACTCTAGTCCTGTTAATGCCTTAACTTAGATTTAGCCTCCTGTTGGCTGGCACAGGGTCAGAACTTCCAGGGCCAGACTGTTAAGCTGAGCCCTTGAAGAGCCAGCCTCTCCTTACGTCATTCTAACTGTACCGTCTCCAAAGGTTACTTATATTTTTATTTCCCAAAGAACCGAAAGCTAACAGGTTGCCGTTTGAATGCTCAGCATCCTGGCCTGTATCCCCGTGTGCTCACCCTCCTGGGATAGGAAAATGCCTGCCCAGCAGGAAAGAGAATGAGCGGTCAGCCAATGAAAGCATCAAGTCAAAGGTTGGCAAAATGCTTTCTACAGGAGAAAGGTGAAGTTTCTGCTTGAGATTGAATGGGGCTGGGAAATATAAACCCGCGAAAGGGCAGGTCGGCGGCAGCGGCAGGAATGAATCGGCACGCTGCTGGAGAGTGGGATCGTGCGGGTAAAGCACAGGTCTCCGCTTTGAATTGGACCCTGTGATTTACAGAAAGGACAATGGGCCCGGGGTCAGGTGCCTAGCAGCTCCATTGACAGCTCCGCCATGAGAGCCTGAGCAAGTGACTTAACCACACCATCTTCATCTTGCCACTCACAAGATGGGGGAGGGCCACTGCGGTCCAGAATGATCCCTGTGGAAGCGCATTCAAAAGGCTGTTAATTTCCAAAGGAGCTGTGAGCAGTACAATGTGATGCAAGAGTTATACCGAATAGAAGTCTCGACTTGAGACTGATTTCTCGTCCATAATTCTCCATCTCCGCTTTGCCGTGTGAACGAGCCAATGCCTGCTTGTTTCGAGGTCAATAATGTCTTCAGGAAAGCCGTGACCGCCGTAAACTATTTTGGATTTCTTTTATTTGTGGCTTAATCTGCTCGGGGCTCTGGGATGGCTGGGGAGGGAAGGATGTCTGCTCTGTTTCTTTGGCGCTGCCTTTTCCGAGTCCAAGCAATGATGACACTTAATGGTGCATTCGTCTCTCTCGTCCTCCTTCTCCTCCTCACTTCCCCCCGAGTGCCCCTTCCCACCGCGGCAGCCGCGTGGCAGGCTGTCAGACCACGTCAGTCAAACCCGAGATCTCACTGACCCTGGGCCCTCTCGAGTTAATGGGTCAGCACGGGCAGACCTCTGTCTTCGCCATCTTCACTGCCTGGGACCTTCTATCTGCAAACAACATTTGTGGGCTTTTCTGCCCTGTGTCCCACACTGCTCTGCGATTCTCGTAGTGGTTGTGTGTTTGCCCATCCCTGGCAGTTTTCACCCTCAGCTAAAAATATCCGTTCTCCACCATCACTGCTTCTGAGCTTGCTACAAGGACACTTCCAAATTTTCATTCAGAGTTCTGAACTTGGTTTTCCCTGTTCAGATAATATGCTCATCTTTTGAAACTTTTCTCTGCTGATGTCACAAGTGGAAACTTCAGAATAATTGAATTCTTAGTCAAGGGTTGTTCCTGTGGTACGTTTTTATCATCGTGGCATGGTTTTAAAATGGACCCTAACATTTAAATAAGTTTCCTATATTTGTTTTTTTAAAGATGTATTTATTATATATACAGTGTTCTGCCTGCATACCAGAAGAGGGTACCGGATCTCACTGTAGAGAGTTGTGAACCACCATGTGGTTGCTGGGAATTGAACTCAGGACCTCTAGAAGAGCAGCCAGTGCTCTTAATGGCTGAGCCATCTCTCCAGCCCAGTTTCCCATATTTGTATGCTAAAAAAAAAATAAGCATGTAATAATATCAAATAATATCAAAGAACTGTTAGATGTCCGGAAATACTGCATCTCATTTCGCTAAATATAATAAGCCACTTGCGATAGCACACAGTCCTAGAATAGCAGTATAGACCAGAGAGGATGGGGGCTGAAGAGGTGGCTCAGAAGTTAGAGCACTTGCCCTTCCTCTAAAGAACCCAGCTTCAGTTGCCAGCACCCACGTCAGGAGGCTCCCAGGCACCTGGAACTCCTTCCAGGGCATCCTACACCTTCACCTGTGTCCCGTGGGCATTGCATGCAAGTGTACATACCCTGACATGTACACATGATAAAAATAAATCTTTTTCTTTAAAAAAAAAATGCAAACAAAAACAAACAGTTCAGTGAGTTCGGGTCCAGCCTGATCTACATAGTGAGTTCCAGGACAGTCAGAGCTGTTACACAGAAACCCTGTCTTGTAAAAAATAATAATAATAATAATAATAAAATAAAAAATAAAAAAAAAACAGTCATTTTTAAGAAAGGATATTGCGGTCACTAAAGTCCTAGACCACATCAATCACTGAGAAGTGTCTAGCATCCTTAGGGCTAGGGATAGAGGGATGGACTGACACAGAGCTTTGGGATAGCTTTCACTTGGTTTGGGTACCAGCCCCGACACTCTCCAGAAAGAGTCTTTGAAAGGCTGTTTTTCTTCTAGTTGATGTGTTGAAAATGCATCAAGGTTCTAAAATAGTCCTTTAGATGTGTTTGACGGGGGTACATATATGTGTGTGCATGTTGCACACTCGTGGAGGGCTTGGTTAAAATAACCTTAAAAACATGGAGCACGAAATTACGCCTACTTGGCGGAAAATGTGAAGGAATACTAAGGAATTTAATATCAGCAACCATGTTCCCTTTGAAACAGCAAATTAGATGTGCAGGTGGGTTTTGGTCACACTTCAAAGACTGAACTGCTGAGATGGAGAACTGGTCTGTTTACCCTTGCTCTCACCAGTGAGATTTTTTTCCGTGTTAAACAGGCCTCTGATTACTTCAAAGCGTGTTTGAAGTCCTCACTCGGCGTAGCTCAAGCACAAAGACAAATACCCCTCCAAATTGGTGCTGCTCATACTGGCGGGCCTCAAATGCACAGGTAAAAAGTGCCCGCCACTCCCTTGTTAACACCACACGATGCCTCTCTCGTTCAGCTATGACAGCGAAGGCCGGCTAACGAATGTCACGTTTCCAACCGGAGTGGTTACAAGCTTACACGGGGATATGGACAAGGCTATCACTGTGGACCTCGAGTCATCCAGCCGAGACGAGGACGTCAGCATCACTTCCAATTTGTCCTCCATTGATTCTTTCTACACCATGGTTCAAGGTAAAGGCAGGGTTTGAAACGATTAACGGGCAAGGTATCGGTAGGACCCAAGTAGAATGTGGCCCTCCGTGTTCTAAGATGAGGGGAAGGGAAGGCAGGAATGTTTAGAGACACTGGTGAAACAAGGCCCTGCAGGCAGTATTATATATGCGCATGCACACGCCATAAAGTGTATCGAACAATGCTAGCCTTGTAAAATGCCTTTTTCCATTGTTACTTAATATAACAACTTTATTCCAGCTTTAGATGCATGTCCCCCTACCGGCTTTGTGTCAGTCAACAGTGTTTGAGAGCATGCCTTCTCCTCTGGTGTCTCACTGCGGTAACTTACAGCACCTCACTAGGATCCACTGTAGTGTGGTATTTGAAGCCATACACCATGGTGATTTTACCCCACATCCCAAGAACCCATTTATATATCTGAACTTTTTCTCAGCTCAGAATACTTACTAAAACCTGCATTAAACCTCTCTTAGTCTGCTTGGGTTTGCTTTGAATTGGCTTGTTTTTCTTTGTTTCATTTTTTTTCTTTTTAAAAACTTATCCATTACAGTCATCTAACCGTAATATTTCTTGCTTGTATTTCTTCTACGAATGATCCTATACTATTCCAAAGTCTGACACTGAGACAGAGACACTAGTCTATAGTCTATAAGAGGATATATATATATATGGATCCCTTTTCTTAAAAGTTGGTTTGGGGGAGAATATCCCTTTATATTTTGAGTATGCAAACTATGGATACTAATCTTTCCAAACTTTCCAAAATGTCTTTGAGAAAAGATAACAAGATTCAGATAGGGGAGGGGACTCCTCTAAGACACTGGAGATGGACACCCAGCCTATTTAAAGACTACATGCTTAGTCCACTGCACATCCAAAAAAAAAAAAAAAAAAAAAAAAAAAAAAAAAAAAAAAAAAAAAAAAGGTGAACCTTCATTCCCTCTACTAAAGTTTTGGTTCTTTTCAGTTCTCCTGAAGTTTGCCTTTGATATTTCAACCAAAACCCTGATAGCATGAAATGCCAGCAGCTTCCCTGTTACCCTCTGGAAGGACATCTGTAGTCCTTACTTTTTTACCACCGTGACAGAAGGAAGGATTTATTTAGCGTACCCGCCCAGAGGTTTCGGACCAAGGTCGCTTGCCCATGCAATTGGCCAACACATCCTGACGATGAAAACACAGAGTCGAAGAGTTTCTTCACCTCGTGGTGTCCAGGAAGGAGGTGGGGGAAGGAGAGAGAGAGAGACAGGGAAAGATGGAGGGGGAGAAGAAGGGAGGTAGGTTGATTGGTATCAGGTATCCAGCCCAGATAGGTATTACCTAAAATTGTCAGAGATTCCAAAACTAACCTCACAAACTGAAGACTGAGTTCCCAACACCTAAGTCATTTCTGAGGGGACACTAGCTCTCCAGACCATAGCAGCATCATTAAGTACCCTTTTTGTTTTTAAAAGTGGGTCTCGGTGTTTTAGAAATATTTCTCCATTCTGAATGCACTCCTGTCAGATGGTTCACGTTTTCTGTGTGTGTCTCTCTCTCTCTTTAGACCAATTAAGAAACAGTTATCAGATTGGTTACGATGGCTCCCTTAGAATCATCTACGCCAGCGGTCTAGATTCTCACTACCAGACAGAGCCCCACGTCCTGGCTGGCACCGCGAATCCCACCGTGGCCAAAAGAAACATGACCCTTCCCGGGGAGAACGGGCAGAATCTGGTAGAGTGGAGATTCCGAAAAGAACAAGCCCAGGGCAAAGTCAACGTGTTCGGCCGGAAACTCAGGGTGAGTAACGCTTGGCGAGCGAGAGGCGCATGCGCAGCTCAGTGCTGCGTCCAGCGCTGCTGTGTAGACAAATGTTCTACCTGCACAGGCAGGGCTCGCCACCTGCCACCCTCGCCTGTCTACACGGAGTGTAGGCCATGACTCATGCCAATCGTCAAAACCTTCAAACCATTAAAAGGAAATTCTTCCCTGGGAAATTTAGAGCTTGCATGTAACACACTTCCAGGTGCTCACTCTCTGGATGTCAGCTGAGCCCTGTCTTGCTGAGATTGCTCTGAGACTCTTAGGACCATAGCCTTTCTCTCCCACTCTGTGTGCAGTGACGGCTTCTTCCTGCATCTGTGGGGATAAGTTAGAGCTGGTTTAAATATTCACAGCTTTCCAAGTTACCAATATGAATGTTGAAGGACACAGGCCAGCCATTGAAAGGTGACGTCTTTCTTTGCAGTCCTTCTAAGTTTGAACCGCAGTTTGGACGTGTAGTAAGATTTCCAACCTCAGAACCTCTCTCTCTATGCTGTCTCTTGGCGCTTGACAGAAGCCCCACCTTTTATTGTTTGGGTTTATTTTTTTATGAGAAATGTGGTGTTTCTCATGGTGCTGGTGTAATTGAGCTTTGCAAAATGGGCTCTGCATTTACTCGTTGGTTTTTTTTTTTATCACTCTTACATTACAGGCCAAATGCATCTGGAAGGCAAGCTTGATTTATGGTAGCTATTGGGTAAAGACAATGTAGATTAAACTCTAAAGCACAGCTTGCAAGAAAACACCTCAGCCGCAGCAAACTGAAGCTGATTCATTCTTTGTATTAGCAAACAGAGTTTTAGTTGATCAGGTAGATGTAGACAATTCTTCCCAACATTACTTCCCTTGCCATTAAAAAATAAATAAATAACCTCAAATCGAGAAGTGAGAACAAAACATGAAGCTTGCTGGTAATCCCCCCTCCTTTTCCTTCTGCACTCCAAATGGCTAAATTATTATCCTAAGGGGCCAGCATTATTTACCTTGGCAATCCTTCAGGGTGAGAAACAGCAACTAAATATTGCTTCTGGCTGTTTCCAAGAAATAGAAATGAAATTTTAAAAAGAATCAATGGATCAAACCCAGACGATATCCAGCTAGTGGGTTATATTCTGATTGCCGTCCATCACAAGGCTGGTGTTTGGGGTTATAATTCGTGGTCTCTCTAGCCAGGACTAAATACAGCTACCCTATCCCTAGGCCTGGCTCCAGTCAGCCCCAGATTGGTTTTGGCAGGCTGGCGTAAAGTGAAGCTGCAGGGGGACAAGGACAATGAGAGGAAGACACAGTGGTTGGCCACTAGAGAGGACGAGAGGGATGGTGTCACGCTAAAGCGATCGACAAGAAAACACTCCACATTTTTTTTTTTTTTTTTTTTTTTTGCCGATTCTCCTGGGACCATGGTCTGTCTCTAAGCGCACTCAAGTTTCAGCCTGCCTCTCTGCTAAAGCTAGGAAGGAGTGGCTGCCACTTCCTGTCTCTGCCCAGGCCTTTCTTCACTCAACCACTGCAAATGAGCTGGCGGGCTTTGCCTTTCTTACTCATTGGTTCCTGGAGTACATAGGATATGCACATGTGAGTCACAGGCAGGCACCCACACATGTCATAGGTACACACACACACAATACATAAGTCATAGGTACAAATACAGGTGAGTCACAGGCACACACACAAGTCATAGGTACACACATATACTCTAGTCACAGGTACACAAACACACATACTAGTCATAGTTACACACATACGTGAGTCACAGGAACACACACATCCTAGGTGCACACACATGCGCACACACACTAATCATAGGTACACACACTAATCATAGGTACACACACATGCACGAGTCACAGGCACACACACATCATAGGTGCACACACATACACAAGAGTCACAATCACATGAAGCCTCTCACAGAGGCCTTCATCAAAAGACACACAAACTTCCCTTCAATTTGAGCTTTCCCAGCCCTGAACACCAAAGAAAATATATCACCTAGAATTCAAAAAAAAAAAAAAAAAAAAAAGCACGTGTTCTAGCCTCAGGCTCTCCTGTTTTTAAGTTTTTTTAAGTTATTTATTACACTAGACAATATAGGTTGTTTTAATGCAAGTATATAATGTGTTTTGATATATAATATCCCTGTCCCGCCCCACCCTCTTTCCATTCCTCACTCCCTCCTACCCTGTTAATCCCCTTGGTCCCTCTAGACAGCTACACTTCTAGTCTGGTGGAATCGATATATACATGAATCTAGATAAAAATCCAGGGACCCTAAGTGAAAGAAAATATACGACATATTTCTTTTTTAAACTGACTAGATTCACACAATGTAATTATCTCTGCATGAATCCTTTGTCCCGTAGACAACTTAATTTCCTTCTTCATGGCTGGAAACCAGAATCTCCTTGTGTGTGTTGTACATTGTTTTCATCCATCTCTTTAGTGTTACACATGAAGGACGTTTCATGACCTATCTGTTGTGCACAGTGCCGCAGTAGTGGGCTAGTGAAACAGGCGGACAGTTCTGCAAACTTAACATACCCACACCAATAAAAACACGAAAGAATGTTCAGCGTCACTAGCTGTCTTAGTTTCTGGTTACCATGACCAAGGTAACTTACAAACGAAAGCATTTGGTTTGGACTTAAGGGTTCCAGAGGGTTCGAGCCCATGCCCATCATGGTGGAAGGCAAACACAGTGCCAGAGCAGTAGCTGAGAGCTCACATCTGTTCCACAAGTACGAAGGAGAAAGAGGGAGCTAACTGGGAATGGAGCGGGCTTCTGAGACCCATAGCTCATCCACAGTGACAAAACCTGGGACCCACCAGGATGGGAAAAAGAAGTGGGGGCAGGAAGCCCATAGCCACATGTGACCTCAATCAGTCTGGAGGGCCGTTAGCATCCTCCTGAGACCCTGGGTCTCCTCTGTCCTTTTTGCTATTTCCTAGCAGAAGGTTCTTTTCATTCTCAAGTTTTTGACTTATATTTTATCTGTGTGCCTGACACATGGTGGACGCTCAAATATTTATTCAGTGAATGAAGAAATGCAAGAAGACGGGCTCGCAATATGGATCGGCTGTGTGGCGCTGCATGTAGATCATCCAAGAAAAGCAGCTGTATGAATGGCGTCTGGCCTCGCTCATGTCCCCTTGCTACACACCAGCCTAACACTGCACCTAACAGGTCTTACAGATGGACGACTGATAGATGGATAGCCAGTTATTATAGGAAGTGTGTGGTATAAAATAGACTTAAAAGTTAAAGAGAAGGCAGGAAGTAGAAAAGGGAAAATTCTATTGGCATCCAGCAAATTCATTTTCTTTGAGACAGTACTGGGATAGGAAAAATGGTGACAATAGGAACTAGACGCATGGAACCTGGCAGCGATGCAGGAAAGCATGGCAGAATAAAGGTCATTCGGTGGCCCGCTGGCTAGGAGCTAAACTTAAAAATGAACATAGATGAGGGCCGAGTTGGCTCAGTCAGCAAAACACTTGCCCTGCGAGCGTGAGGACCTGAGATCAGTCCCTAAAAGCCAGGCAGGGTGGCACACTTGTAATTCCAGCACCAGGGAAGCAGAGACAGGTGCATCCCTCAGATTTTCGAGCCATCCAGCATAGCCTAATTGGCAAGCTCCAGGCCAAGGAGAGATTCTTTTAAAAGAGAGAGAGAGAGAGAGAGAGAGAGAGAGAGAGAGAGAGAGAGAGAGAGAGAGAGAGGTGGGCAGGTTCTTCTGAGGAACAACACCCAGAGCTGTCCTTTGGCCTCCACCCCCATGCACACATGCATGCGCAGACATGCACAGCAGCACACTCACAAGTAGATGCATACATAATAGGTGCTTGTGTTTGTCAGATAAAGAGAAGTGGAGCTCAGGCCCGGGGTTGGCTCAGCAGGTAAAGCTTGTAGGCAAGAGTGAGGACCTGAGGTCAGATTCGCAGAGTTCATGTGAAGCCAGGGGAATTAGTGTGTATCTGTGATGTCAGCACTTCTCCAACAAGGCATAAAGCCAAGACAGGAGAATCCCCATGTGTGTACATGGGATGGCTAACCTTGAGTCCGAAGACCCTCTCTCAAGCCAAGCGGAAGATGAAGACCAATCCCCAAGGTTATCCTCCGGCCTCCACACACATGCTTGGCACAAACATGCCTGTATTCATACACACACAGAGATTTTAAAAAAGTAATTAGCCTTAAGTGACACAGACCAGTAATCCCAACACTTAGGAAGTTAAGAATAGAGAATCATGAGTTTGAGGCTAACCTGGGCACATAGTAAGATTGTCTGAAAAACAAAGTTGACAAATAGTCCTGAGTTTTATCCATGCTGGGCATCAGGAACAAAATTCATTTTTTTATACCTGCCTAGAATTTATGTTAAAAAAAAAAGATAATTTTAGTGAGTCAGTTGTAAAGAGAAACACTCGGGATTTTGAAGTCCGAAGCGTGTTTGAAGGCATACATAAATACGATAGCATATTTAAATCTCTCACACTCGGCCCATCACATTTGTGTGGTATTTTCATGCAGTGTTCTGTCCTGGAATGGGATCACACATTTAGTTTGCTCTCATGATGAGCGGCTACGGAGACACGGAGCCATCTGTGGCAGTGGATGCTCCAACAGGGCCATGGAGAAGGCTTCATGTTGTCGCCGAGCGTGCTGGGTAACAAGCCAGCCCTTTCCTCCTCCTCTGTAACACTTCAGAAGAGTGCACAGAGCCCGATTGCGCTGGCAAACTGTTTAAGGTCATTGTGAGTTTAATTCTCAAGCGCTCCAGAAGGAAGATTGTAGCCATTCCCCTCTCACTGTCAAAGGACGCTGTGACTAGTCACAGTCATGCTCGACGTCGCTATGAAAATGGAGATTTTTCCATGCTTGCTTAAGGGAAGTAATGTCCGCCGCAAAGGCAGGCGCAGTGGCCCCTTCGCTGTACCCAATACTGGGATTCACTTCCAGGCTGAGAGAGGTGGAATGGTGATTGTGCCAATGGTGAAGATAAAGGTTGGATCTTGAGATTAGGTATTCGTGTTAGCCTCGTTCTTGTCTTTGTGTGTGTGCAGGTGCATGTGTGTGCACGTTCGTGCGGAGGCCAGAAGTGAACCTTAGGTGTCGTTCCTCGGGAGCCATCACCTTGCTTTGTTGAGAGAGGTCGTGTTGCAATGACCAACAGCTAATTGTATGTTAGGCTGGCTACCAATGCAGGATTTACAGGCACATACCATGGTCCCAGATCTTGTTGTTGCTGTTGCTGTTGTTGTTGCTGTTGTTGCTGTTGCTGTTGTTGTTGTTGTTGTTGCTGTTGTTGTTGCTGTTGTTGTTGCTGTTGCTGTTGTTGTTGTTAATATGGGTGCTAGGAATGCAAAGCCAGCACCCCATGCTTATGCTGCAAGCCCTATACTGACTGAGCCATCTCACCAATACCTTAAACTGATGCTTTCATAACTTAAAATATAAAATCCCCACTAAAACAATGTCCTTCATAAGCACAATATCGGAAAAAAGATTTAGGGGACTGGAGAGATGGCTCAGCGGTTAACAGCACTGGCTGCTCTTCCAGAGGTCCTGAGTTCAATTCCCAGCAACCACAGGGTGGCTCACAACCATCTCTACTGGGGTCTGATGCTCGGCTCTGGCTTAAAGGCATACATGCAGATAAAGCACTCGGGCATAAAATAAGTAAATCTTAAAAGAAAAGATGCCCTGTTTAGAGTGGACACAGCTCTCGGCCACTGCAATTCATTTACAATGTCCAAAGAAGGCGTGCTTGAAAGGGACAGAGAGAACAGGAGGTCTGGTCGTGTCTTGTGAACTTTTGTATTTTAAATAGCACTTACTAATATCTGGAAACACAAGAATGTTTAACATCTTGCTAGGCAAAGTGGCACATACCTGCAACCCCTGCAACCTGTGAAGCCAAAGCAGGAGAATTGCTCAAACCTCGGAGTTAGATACAGCTATAACACAGAGATCCACACACACACATACACACACACACACACACACACACACACAAATGTACACGCCTTGATTTATGTTGAAATGTGCATAAAAATATCCCCTTCCTTGAAACTCATTATTTCAGCTGGAGGATATAGGAAAGATATTACATATAGTAATTATCTAGATAAAAAGGAAAATTAAAACATCCATCTTCCGTTGGGTCTCCTAGTGCTTCCAGATGTCCTCAGACGGTGGCATGTTTGACATAGAGACCCACAGTGTTGACACTGATGACATGCTTGGTTTTTATCTGGGGGAGGGAGAATTGGTGTCGTGTAACCATCCTCACAAACCAAGGAAGCCAGTCAGACACAGACCAAGAAAGCCCGTCAGAAGCCAGTAGCCGATCGCAGGTGAGCAAAGACGACTTCCAGACCGGTCTTTGTTATTCACTGATCACACCAAATACGTGGCCCAGAATGCGGGTGCTGGAGCCAAAGGAACACTGGACATAAAGCAGGGTTAGCGACAGCAGTAAAGAATTGATGTACAAATTGAAATGGATGCAAACTCAAACACAAACAGATGGGGCAATAATGCAGGCAGTATTGTGGAAACTACACAGGCTTTCATGGTTATTCATAGGTTGGCACAACCTAAGGGTTTTTTTAGAAAGAGGGCAGACCTGAACTTGGGGGTATAGGGATGGGGCGTACTACTAAAACAAAATCTGAGAAACCCAAAAGCCCTAAATCATTTAAATTGTACAAAAAAAAAAACCTTTTCTGTTTTTCTCCTATTTAATACTATGTTTTTATTGACTGAGAATGTCACACATGTGTAGGATATATTTTGATCAAATTCATCCCGAACTCCCCCCCCCACGCCACCCTCCCAAGCTTCTCCTCCTGAATCCACCCTCCATCCTCTCCCAACTTTGTCCTTAAAAAAAAAAAAAAGGAGTATATTTTGTGGTGCCTATAACTCACACATGTGAGGCCATACACTAAAGTGTGGTTGACCTACCAAAGCTTCTTGCATTCAAAACAACGCCTACAGAAACTAAAACCCTTGGGCCTGCCAATTACCAAGCTGATGTAATATCAAATCTTTCTACAGACCTGAGAAAAGATGTTTGTAAAGTAGCTGTAACTTCCTTCCAATGCATCCCGCAAACCGCCACAGAATTCACCTAGGCAGGGAACACCTGGTGCAGACGCTTCTCTTCATCAGGAAAGGGAAGGGGCCAGGAAGCCTCGAGCTGGCTGGCTCACGACCCAGTAAAAAAAAAAAAAAAAAAAAAAAAAAAAAAAAAAAAAAAAAAAAAAAACGGCAAAGCCTTGGGGATCCGGCCCAACGTCTGTGTTTATATGTGGACGAAACAGATGCAGGGTAGTTCAAAGCCCAATGGCAGGCTGCTCCTAGGCCTTGTAACTCTTGGAGGTCAGGCTTTAGAATTCTGTGTGTGCGCACATGCTCACACACACACACACACACATCATATCATATCATATCATATCATATAGATTTTGAAACAGACAAATTTCTGCCGTGATATAATGTAGTAGTTTTCTTTCTCCATATGAGCCCTGTCTGAAAAGGCTGGGTCACTCCATCTCTCGTCTCCGTGCTGAGCTCAAGCTCAACCCTTTCTCGGTATCTGCAGATCACCTCTTTGAAGTATCTCCCCCCATCCCCCCTCACCAAACTCATTTAAGACTTAATGCCGCACCTCTCCATGGACTTCACACCTCTCCCTTTGAATGGCCAATTAGAAAGGTTTAGACCTAAGGAATATTTCTGCATAGAATGCAATTAATATCAGTGATAGAATGCAAAAACGAATTTTATCACAGGTTTTACACAAACGTACATGCATATCATATACATACCTACCTGTGCATACATGTGTGTTTGGGTGTCTGGGTGACAGGGGGTGAGCTTCTGGTGACAAATCCTCACAGTCATCCTAACTGCAGTCAGAACCTCCTAACTGGCGGAAGCACATCCCTGGGTGTTTCCAGAGATAATTCACTAAAGAGGGAAAACCTACCCTTTCTCCCCATAGGCTAAATAAAGAGAGGGGAGGAGAGAAAGCCAGCCTAATGCTATCTCTCTTCCTTTCTCTCTTTCCTGACTCCCTCCACTACGTTCCCCCTGATCCTTGATTGACCGAACGAACTTAAACTGTGAACCAAAATCAGTCCTACCCTCATCGAGGTATTCTTCTGGTATTTAAGTCACAGTAATAAAAAGCTAAGATACCATGTAAACACAGATATTAAAGGTGTGAACATCATGTGTGTGAGTGTATGTTAGTCATGTTGTATTTATATAGAAATGTTGTGTGCATCTTATTTTGCTTCTGGTTGCTATAATGGAAGGTCTGACGCTGTGTAGGTTATGGTGGAAAGAGGTTTGCTTAAGCCAGTCATCCTAGAAGTCCAGAAGCAGAACACCAGCACCTCCTTGGGTTCTGTTAAAAGCCTCAAGGCAGGAAGTAGCAGAAAAATGGTCACAATTACAAGGGACAAAGAGCATGCCTCTAAGAACCTGATCTGAGAGAACAAATCAATTCCCATGAGAACTTTCTTTCTCTTTGGAGAAACCCGAGTCCCTCTTAAAGGCTCCACATCACCTTCCTGTACACCAGCAACCAAACTTCATCCTAGGTTTTGGCAAAACAAACCACATCCAAGCCACCAAAGCAATCACCTTGAGCTAATACTGTTCATTTGTTAATTCTGAAAGTTCTAGTTAAAGTGTGGCCACACACTGTCAAGGTTGCTCCGTTTAATTTTTAACAATCTAAACATCTAGTGAGAGCTTTGGTATGTACAGACTGAGCCCACAATAAAGACCAAGGCTCCAGTAAAGGCTTGGGCTCTGCCCTTCAGAGTTCAGTCTGCAAACACTATCGCCTACCTAGCTGCACACTTGCAGTGTAGTAGCGAGAGCTGGCTCGAGTGTGCCTTCCCTGCATTATAGCCAGTCACAGCCAGATCTCATCAGAGATCCCGGACGTGGCAGGCAGCCACACAGAGACCGATTGCTAGGTTTATAAATTAAGTCCATGTCCAGCCCGCGGATATGTGGTAGGAAAGAACTCGAAAGTCTGGACCCGTTCCCCAGATGTTAGAGAAAAAGAAAACAACACTCTAAAAAATTGTGACTTTTTAAGACTGGCCCCAAAGCAATGATCGTATTTGTAACCTCCTGCTAGTTCAACTCATTAATAATTTACAGTAATGTGGGCTCCAACTTCTACTTAACTGCACTTCAAAGGGTTAGAGTCGCATTTACCACTGTTTTATTTAATGTAGCCATGATTAATTCACTAAGCAATTATTTTTTCTTTGTCCTTTTAGGGGAGGAGCTTAGAGTGATTTCCATAGGGTGTTGTTTATCATTGGAAAAATCTTTAAAGCAAGCACATTTTGCACGCTCTGTCTCTCCCTATCTGTCTCTCTCCGAGTTTCTCAGCTGTCTCTCTGTCTCTCTCTTTCTCATCTGTTGCTTCTCATTTACAAAATTGAATTGAAACGGTTTTGAACAAATGCCAGGCTGTCTTTCTGCTTAATAAAACCTTGTGAAAGAACAGTTCATCTATTACCTTGTCCTTGTATCTCAGAATTTGCTAGATTAATCTACTAGCAAAGTGAATCAGTCACCATAAACAGTGTTTACACAATACCGAGAACTCCGATGGGTGAAAAGCGGCCAGCCTTGGGATGATGTTCTCTGTCTCACTTGGTAACAGGTCAACGGACGAAACCTCCTCTCCGTTGACTTCGATCGGACCACCAAGACAGAAAAGATCTATGACGACCACCGGAAATTTCTTCTGAGGATCGCTTATGATACCTCTGGGCACCCAACGCTCTGGCTGCCTAGTAGCAAGCTGATGGCCGTCAATGTCACCTACTCCTCCACGGGTCAGATCGCCAGCATCCAGCGTGGAACTACGAGTGAAAAAGTGGATTATGATGGACAGGGGAGGATTGTATCCCGGGTCTTTGCTGATGGTAAAACGTGGAGTTACACATACTTAGAAAAGGTATGCCCGTGTTCTAGCGTTCCCATGGGGACGGGATGACTCGCATTCTCCAACAATCACACCGAGCAGGACGAGAAGGAAAAACACAAACACAGCAACACATGACTGAGTCCTGTTTGTTATTCTAAGCATCCCCGTGGCAGTCACGGAGGTGCAGGGTGATGAATTTCTGTATTAGCAAAGTAGTTTCGCCTTAGTTAAGTTCTACTATCTGAGACCCTTTTAAGTGATTTACGCTGTAAACAAACACGCTAACACCGCGCACCTGCCAAGCTCCTGCACTGACAACATTCACAAATTAGACCCAGGGCTTGCACGTCATTTGTAAATAATTTCTGCTCGGGCTCTTTCATTTAAGAGAGAGCTCGCATTAGTACGGTTAGAGCTGTCAGTTTGTGTGTTGTCCCTGGCAGAGCTTCAGCGGAACCATAAAAAGCATGCAGGGCCTATTTATGCATTATTAACCAAAAGAGGCTATTTTCCTAGAAAGCCGTACTGTCAGATACCGGGTGATGTCTCTCTCTCTCATTTGCATGGGAGAGCTAAGCATCATGACTTGGGCCGTTTCCCATTCCTCAGAGCTGTGCACAATGCCACAGATGGGGATTCAGAACTTGGAGGTTTACACACGTGTAGGGTCCTGAGCCGTAGGTGGTGCAGCCTGAGGTTTGGGCTGGGGTCAAGAGGAATGGAATGGAGAAGAAGGGGGGAGGGGAAGTGTTTTCTGTAACTGGCTTCTTAAAGAACAGAATCCACCGAAGAGCATTTCCACGAGTATTTCATCTGCCTTTGGGACAAGCGTTAGCCACAGAAAATGATTAGCTTTTGAGTGCACATATGCCTCAAATCTCCCAGCGCTGTATTCCCGATTACACAGCACCTGAGTTACAGCCTCAGCTCTTGGCGTTCACTGCCTCCAACCCTGCGGACACTGAAAGTTAAACAAGGAAAGGTCTGTCCTCCAGAGCAGTCATGAGCCACGCAGGTCACTGCTGAGTTCATGCATTCGCCTCAGCAATGGCGCTCCACCAAACCCCTTGGTCTAAACCTAACCCTTTGTACATGAGCCTATCTACTTCACAGCCCTCCCAAACCAGATTCAGAAATCAAGGTAGGTTGCTACCACCTTATACCACCATGCCACCTCTCAGTGCTTCCAGCAAGGATCCTCCTGGCCAGACTCGGGGCCATGGACTGTCAGGTGACCAACTCCCTCCTGCCGTCACACTCTAGCCACTCGGGAATTGTTTAGAGACCACGGATAAGCTCCCTGTACACATGCCTGCCTAGGAACATATCCGGCACCTGACGTGTATTTCCATGTCTAGTCCAACCAGCCCCAAGAGGACTTCTGCAAGCGGGAGGGGCGGAGACGGGAACATTTAGACTAAGTGTTTGACAGGAAGAGCAGTAGAAATACCCCGCCCCCGCAAAATAATGCACGTCATAATTTGACTTAAAAATGTTTAAAGGAAAGCAGAGGGAGCATTGTTGGCTAGAACTACTTTCACACAGCGACAAAGGCCGCTCTGGAAGTCATTTTCATATCTGTGTGAGGATCAGAAAACCCAACGGGACCTTCCTTCTTACTATCTCCTAAGTTCCTAAAATCCCCCCGAGACTGTATCTGATTCCTACCTAGGATAGGCACACCAAATCCAAACCTATTTATAGTAAGACTAGTAACAGTTGACGAATTGCCATCAAATAGGACTTTAAAGGCCTGCAGAACTACCTCCCGTTGTTGTTCAAGCCTTCCTGGGAAGAACACAAGCCATGTGTTAGCCAGCTTTCTGCTACTGTGACAAAACGCCAGAGACATAACCTGTTTGGGAGAACAATTTTAGCTCTCAGATGACTCGGTCCCTCATCACTTGGCTGTACTGTGACAGGGTCTGTGGTGAAGTGACACAGCAGGGGGCATGTGTCAAAGTTGCTCATCTCATGGGGTCGGGGAAGTAAAGGGAGAAGTGGGGTTCCAATGTCCCCTTCAAAGGCATGTTCCCAATAATCTAACTTCCTTCCGTGAGGCCTTGCCATTTAAAAGTGTCACTACCTCCCAGTAGGACCACAGACTGGTAGCCAAACCATCAACACAGGATCTTTGGAGGGACATTTCAGATCCCAGTCATAACAAGTAAAAAATTGTTGCTGCTCATGGCCACAGAAGAGACTCTTCCAGAACCTGAGTTGTGAGAAGTGTTTTGTAATTCAGTCGGAAAGGAAAAGAATGGGTTTTGACAAGAGAGTAGATTGCATTTCCATGCGAGACTCAAAAGAATAAGTCCCAGGGGCTCTGACCTCACCGTCCTCCCAGTTTGGCTATCATTTGACCTTTTCTAATAGGGGTCATAGGAAGCTGCATCTCAGGAAGACCTGCCCCTGGCCTGCATTACAGTTGGGCCTTCCTTACTCAGGCAAGCTCAGGGTTGACCTTCTCTCTGGTGGCTCAATAAGTTGATGCCAACCATCTTTCTGTAGGGACCTGGGTGTGGGTAGTAGAGATCATTTTTATTTGTATGGTTAGTTTCTTCATAATTTAATACCAACACTTACAGGGCCCAGAAACCGTGATTGTAGCTCCTGAAGTGAAATTCATTATTTCATATCTGCAGAAGGAATTATCAAAATGTTAGGCTTGTCTATACAGATCCAAGATTGAGACACCACGTCCAAATCCATATTTCTGTGAAGGGTGTTTACAACTCTGGTTCACTGTGCAGCTGATTTAGCCCTGTTTGTTGACACTGATGCTTTATGTACACATTATCCATTTAGGGCTAATTTTGTGTCTCTTCATAAATAATATTTTGGCTTTGTTCCTCCCCCTCCCCCCAGATACACAGGAAATTAAAACCTGATTTGAGTGGCTCTTCAGCCAAATGAGGGGGAAGGACACCTTACTAAATAATTGCCAATTATAGATAGGATTGCGTTTCCCCTCTGCTATTTTCCCCTTGAAATATTGTCTTTAAACCAGCTTAGTCCGTGCCTGCATTATGACTTCTCCAAATCCATTGACAATCTGCTGGTTGGCTGGGAATGCCTGGAAAAAGAATGGCTCAATCATGACAAGTATCACATTATGAATCTTAAGCCACTAATTGCAGAACCCTTCACAATTAAGCATCCAAGCAAATTAGGCAGGAATCATTAACACCATGTAAGGTCAAGGATAACTCAATTAAAATGAAAACCATTGTTTTCAGGCAGAATGTCCCTGTGTGTTTGTGGTCACTAAATCTGCTTTTGTGCCCCCCCCACCCCTCCAGCCCCCACCCCAATTCACCAACCCTGGATAACAGCCTGTGTTCTCTTCACAGTCCATGGTTCTTCTGCTCCATAGCCAGCGGCAGTACATCTTTGAATACGATATGTGGGACCGCCTCTCCGCCATCACCATGCCCAGTGTGGCTCGCCACACCATGCAGACCATCCGGTCCATCGGCTACTACCGCAATATATACAACCCCCCAGAAAGCAATGCCTCTGTCATCACGGACTACAATGAGGAAGGGCTGCTCTTGCAAACAGCTTTCCTGGGAACAAGCCGGAGGGTCTTATTCAAGTATAGAAGGCTGACCAGGCTATCGGAAATTTTGTACGATAGCACCAGAGTCAGTTTTACCTATGATGAAACGGCAGGAGTCCTGAAAACAGTAAACCTTCAGAGTGATGGTTTTATTTGCACCATTAGATACAGGCAAATTGGCCCCCTGATTGACAGACAGATTTTCCGCTTTAGTGAAGACGGAATGGTAAATGCAAGATTTGACTATAGCTATGACAACAGCTTTCGAGTGACCAGCATGCAGGGTGTCATCAACGAAACTCCACTGCCCATTGATCTGTACCAGTTTGATGACATTTCTGGCAAAGTTGAGCAGTTTGGAAAATTCGGAGTTATATACTATGACATCAACCAGATCATTTCCACGGCCGTAATGACTTATACGAAGCACTTTGATGCCCATGGCCGCATCAAGGAGATTCAATACGAGATATTCAGGTCACTCATGTACTGGATTACAATTCAATACGATAATATGGGCCGGGTAACCAAGAGAGAGATCAAAATAGGACCCTTCGCCAACACTACCAAATACGCTTACGAGTACGATGTTGACGGACAGCTCCAAACGGTTTACTTGAACGAGAAGATCATGTGGCGTTATAACTATGACCTGAATGGGAACCTCCACCTGCTGAACCCCAGCAGCAGCGCACGCCTCACGCCCCTGCGTTACGACCTGCGGGACCGAATCACCCGCCTGGGGGATGTGCAGTACCGGCTGGATGAAGACGGTTTCTTGCGTCAGAGAGGCACGGAGATATTTGAGTACAGCTCCAAGGGGCTTCTGACTCGAGTTTACAGCAAAGGCAGTGGCTGGACAGTGATCTATCGGTACGACGGCCTGGGACGGCGTGTTTCTAGCAAAACCAGCCTGGGACAACACCTTCAGTTTTTCTATGCCGACCTGACGTACCCGACGAGAATCACTCACGTCTACAACCACTCCAGCTCAGAAATCACCTCCCTCTACTACGATCTCCAAGGACATCTTTTCGCCATGGAGATCAGCAGTGGTGACGAGTTCTACATCGCCTCGGATAACACGGGGACCCCGCTGGCTGTGTTCAGCAGCAACGGGCTGATGCTGAAGCAGATTCAGTACACTGCCTATGGCGAAATCTACTTTGACTCCAATATTGACTTCCAGCTGGTAATTGGATTCCATGGGGGCTTGTATGACCCGCTCACCAAATTAATCCACTTTGGAGAAAGAGATTATGACATTTTGGCAGGACGATGGACAACGCCAGACATTGAAATCTGGAAAAGAATCGGAAAGGACCCGGCTCCTTTTAACCTCTATATGTTTCGGAATAACAACCCTGCAAGCAAAATCCATGATGTGAAAGACTACATCACAGGTAAGGTTTTTTTTTTTTTCCTTGCCAAGTGCTAAATTACTATTACCATTAGATTAATACACAAAGTAACTAGAATTGACCTTTTGGATATATTCATTTCTCTAAGGATCCATAGAGAAACCACAAAGGGAAAATGAAATACAGTTACTTCCCACTCTGCCTGACTATGCTCAAGGCCATGGTTTCTGAAATGACACAGAATTCAATCATCTAAGGAAGGGAAGAGATACAGAGAGCAGAAAACATGCTAAATTCAGAGTCCCGAAATTGAAATACCAATTGCTACAGTGGTATGACTTTATAGTCTAGTCTCTCCCCCCACCACTAGATCCCTTCTTCCCGGCCAAGTCCCGGTTGCTGTAACGGTTTGCTTTCTGTCATCACGACAAAATTCCCAAGATCAGTTGATTAGGACTCACCGCTTGGGAGTCCCATCAGCCCCAGCGCTTCAGACCTGCAGCAAGCCAGCAGGCTATAGGTCGAGTACTTGGAGGCATTATTAGTCAGGAAAGGGCGGGAGGGGGTCAGAATGCCGTAATCCCCTTCAAGGGCATACCACAAGGACATGAAGACCTCCCACATCCTTCCCCTCTCCAAGGCTCCAACACTTCCAAGAGGAAGTACTCCAGGAACCAAGTATTTAAGCAAGGGCACACGTGACAACAATGAAATGGGACAGCGATGGCTGCCTGTGGCAGCGGATGTCAGAGTGCGCAGAATTCTGCATCAAATCGTGACTACCTCAGAAACATCTCCTGCTGGGTTTCCCATACATATGTACATTTATGATGGGAGTACGCCATACGAAACACGCCTTGCCTCACCCCTGAGAGATGCCTCCCACCCTCCTCAGCACCATCGCCTAAGGACAGTAATGGAGCGTCAGTCACTTGGTCCTCTTCCATGACGACATCGCTAACATCCACACTAATGTCATCGCTAATGTGGAGTGATGACCAGGCTATAGGATGAGGGCCTTTCCAAGGTGGAATCCGTGTGACTCTTGTGGTAATGGAAACTTAAAGAATCGGATTGCACTTCCGCCACCACAGGGGCATGTGTTAGAACACAGGAAGGAGCTTACAAGTCCTGCTGTGGTCCCCGTACTGGACTGCCATGGTCTTCCATCCTCTTCTCTAAAAATTTTAGATTCCCCTGCCTCCAGCCTCCCATCCCTGGTTTATTCTGCCATATTTCAATGCATGCTTCTCGAAGGTTTATTCCTGTTTTCTCTAGTTGTTTGCTTGAACTTTTTTCTGCTGTGTTTTGGCTTCTGTTGGCCGCCCCATCAGCCCACCTCTGTTCCAGCTGAGTATTTGAGGCACACCAAGGAGTTCTTCCGTTTCTTAGGACCGGTGTGGAAAATGCTACCCCTGTTCACTTCACATCTGCTTTCTACCTTTCCAAGTGACATGGAGTTTTTCCCGTGGCCCTTCCACGAGCCCAGCCGTAAGCCCCTTCCTTCAGCTCCACCAGCAACCGTCTCAGCAACACCCTGGAGTGTTCTCAGTCAGCCCACATCCAGATCCCATTATCTTGATAGGCAATGCTTTTCAATACTAAAGACCCCAGGTTTCCTGTGAGCACACACTCTTCAGAAAACAAGAAGCTGCCCTAAATCTGTCAGCATGCGGATGACAGCATTTCCCCCCAAACTTAAGGCCTCCCTGTACCCGTGTATACACTCTCCCGGGAAGGTAGCACCTTCCGTCCCCTGTGAGCCCTGTGGAGACCTCTCCCCACCCCACGAGAACACACACTCTGCCACCCCATTTAACAGAGAGAACAGCGCTGATACTGCAGGCACGTGAGACCTGGACAAAGGACCTGCCGGCCTGGCAATGAGGTGAGAGTTTGTGCCCTAGAGAAGGAAACGGGAAGCGGGCAGCTCTCCATCATCCTGACAAGCAGTTTAGCACTGGTTATGTGAGGTGCTGACAGGGGCTGACTGAAGGAGTGGAGAGCCCACAGCTCCCGAATTCATCTTCTCCTAGCAACACGGACTGCAGGGAATGCCATGGCAGCACTTTCTGAAAAACATCAAAGGAGCGACGGAACGGCATAAAATATATTAGGTGAAATGCAATTTCAAATTTTCCAGCAATGTGCTTAATATATAAAATAATCTACACCCAACTGTACTCATAAAGCGGCAAGCCCGCTGAGTGGCTCCGTAAATCATAACCTCCAGAAGAGAAGAAAAGCCTTATTCTTTGCTTAATGGCTTTTGGTGTCACGTGACAATATTTGAAAATACCACTGTTAAAGGTTCCCATGTTCTCTCCCCCAAAAAGTTAGTCTCCACCTGTGCACAGCGAGGCTTTGAAGTCAGAGCTAAGGGAAATCAGAACATCGGCGCCCTTGGCCAGGTTGGCCAGCTCTCGGCGTTCATCTTTGATGAAGAATCAACTTATTTTGCTCTCCTCGATCTAGGGGGTTTTCATTAGTAGACAGTGGCTCATGGACGCCCCAGGGTCTTTGCACAATGGTGCTTGAGGACCAGTCACACAACTTCCACTTAAGACGGGTCTTTCCTAAGCACGGACTTCATTTGTCTTCTGCATCTGCGTCTCGAATTCTCACGCTGCTCTTCCTCTTGCCACTTTTATCACTATTACCGGCACAGGATGCAATTTTGCGCTTCTGACAGTTTATCTACCCCGTCTAAGTGAGTATCTATTACTCTCCATTTTCTGCAGCGTCCGCCACAGCTCTGCTGTCGAGGTTACTGTCTGCGTGTCTAAAAATAGACAGCGGATTTAAGATGGTAGGAGGAAGGCAAACTTAGTCTCCTTTCCAGATGAATATTTGTGAAACTGGGTTCTGGTTTTCTTTTTCTTTTTTTTTTTTTAAGATAAAAATGTAAATTTGTGGAAGCGCTCCATAAACCCTTACCACCTCTGACTCTGCATGGTCTCCTTCCAGATGTTAACAGCTGGCTGGTGACTTTCGGCTTCCATCTGCACAACGCCATTCCCGGATTCCCCGTTCCCAAGTTTGATTTAACAGAACCCTCCTACGAGCTTGTGAAGAGTCAACAATGGGACGACGTGCCGGTAAGAGACCAAAGAACGGAGGGAAGGCGGTGAATGGAGTGTTTGTGTCTTGTTTATCCATGTTCCATAGAGCTGCCCCCACGAGGACTGCGCCCAAAGCAGCTTTTCTGTTCCGTCTTTCCGTTTTCTTTCTTTTCACGCTTTTGAGGAAGGAAAACCGACAGTCGCATTTCTGTTCAGCGTGCTAGGGGCCCGTGGAACAGGCCACATCTGTTTCTGGCGATGCTAATAAAAACATTGAACTACGCCATCAAAAGGTAGTAAAACGCAGAAGCTTGTGTTTCTCGTGGAGGGCTTCTGCAGAGAACCCCAGGAAAAAGCATTGCTGGCACCTGGGAGCTGAAGGCCAGATTCAATAAACAGGAGAGCAGGGATTCAGATTTCCAATTAGCAACCCAACAACAGTACCAGACCAGCATTTACAGAAAAGTAAAACGAAACATGTCCTCTAGCAGGGCTCTGTCTGTGACCGGGTGTTCGTAGACGTTTCCTGAAGCCAGTAGATCAGGAGGCCTGGTCCTGGGGTGAGAAGTAAAGCTAAGAAACAGAAGGGGCAATTGTCAAGTCAGAGCTGCTGGGTCAGGAAGTGCCTCTTTAAATTCCCGCCATTCAGGGCTCAGAAAAGAATATGCATCAAAATAACTAGAGATCGAGAAATTGGGTTACCACTTAGTGATAATGGAAGTGCGGAGTTCCTAGAAAAGTTAGTCCCCACCTTGAGCATTTCCCTACCACTTCCGTGAAGACAAAGAAGCAGTCATGACTAAAGCACACAAATACACACATGGCATACACAGTACTCACAGATACATTTTTCTGATAAAGTTTCATTCTTAGCATAAAAAAACTACGTTTCAGGTGGCATCTAACATAATAACCAAAATCCATCGAGTATCTAGGGTCTAGGGGCCATTTTAACATTGCTTCTTTTTTTCGTTTTATATATATATGTATATATATATTAAAACTATGTGTACAGAGATTTGCATGTGTGAGTGCAGGTGCCCTTGGCATTCCAATGCAGATGAGGGCATAGGATCTGCTGGAACTGGAACCACAGGCAGTTGTGAGCTGCCAGGTGTCAGTACTGGGAACCAAACCTGGGTCCTGTGGAAGAGCAATGTGCTCTTAACCCATGAGCCTTCTCTCCAGTCCCCACCTTAACCTTCCTCCTGGCAAACATATCTGCCCTGACTAAGTGCCATGAAGACGCTCTGAAGTCTCCTAATGCATTTGCACATGCATGTCCTATCTGCATGACATAACATGTCTGAGTGCACTTTAGTCTGCCTGTACAAATGGACCTGCCATCTTTTCTCCCAGGCAGCCTTTCAGTGTGGCTCAAGTTCTCTGTCAAGAAAAAGGCCTCCTAAGTACAGCTTAGGGAATCACGGGTAAAAGCCACCAGGCAGCCTCCCTAGTGCAGGGGCTGCAAATGAAGCCGCTGTCCCTGTTTGGCCGGACAAAATCTGCTTGTATAAGTGGCTGGGTTAGGATACCCCAATTGCAAGCAGTTTGCCCGTGGAGACAGTCCATTGTCTTTCCATCTGCCTGAAATACTTGTTTTCTAAAATGTAAATTCTCATCCCCGGATGGTCCCTAGTCTGCTCATCCCAGGGCATTTCCACTCCGCAGTCACACTGGTGACTCTCAGCTACAAACTGTTCAGCAAGGCAGGAGGCACTGAGGACTTGCAGCAAGGGCATTTAAAGTGTAGGAGAGCCTGGTGACCTTTAGCCTTTTCTTTCATTTGTGGCCTTCTCTGGAGCCCCCACCCACCCACCCACCCCGAGAAAGCTACAGCTTTCCCAGGTATGGTGGTTTGAGGGGGGGAAAGCATCTAGGAATTGCAGGATAAAAGATAATAACACGAATAGTTTGCCTGCCCTGGAAACTAAAAAAAGCAGTCCACAGTATGGGAAGAGATGGCCTTTGTATCTTTTATTGCGTTTTTATTTTCTGTGCACACACCGCACTGGACTGCGCATGTGTAGAGGTCAGAGGACAGTTTGGTCAAGCTTGGCCGTTGGGACCTTTACCCAAGGAACCATTCGCCAGCCAATAAACTCATTTTTGTACATTTTAAAAACTAGTAGAATCACTACCATGAGGAAAGGAGATGCCATTCCATCCTGGCTTGGGTAGGCCTTTTAATTCCTGTAGAGCCAAGGGATTTTCGGTAAGGGTTCTGCACCTCACTCAAACCTGTTTTGTTTGATTGCTGAGTCGTCGGTTTGGTTTTTTGTGTGTGCTTGTTTGAGATTGGGGCAGGATCTCACATAGCTCAAGATAACCCTGAACTTACTATGTAGCTAAGTATGCCCTCGATCTCCTGATCCTCCTTCCTCTTCCTCCCCAATGCAGCGCTTTCAGTGTGTTTGGGGGTGGGGGGGGGCTGCTTTATTTTTGGTCAACAAGCGTGGCTTCCATCAACCAGGACCTGCGCACACTGATGTTCTTTTAACCTCCTTCCTCTTGTGTCTTGCCCTCCAGCCCATTTTTGGAGTTCAGCAACAAGTGGCAAGGCAAGCCAAGGCTTTCCTGTCCCTGGGGAAGATGGCCGAAGTGCAGGTGAGCAGACGCAAGGCAGGCGGTGAACAGTCGTGGCTGTGGTTCGCCACGGTCAAGTCGCTCATCGGCAAGGGCGTCATGCTGGCAGTGAGCCAAGGGCGCGTGCAGACCAACGTGCTCAACATCGCCAACGAGGACTGCATCAAGGTGGCGGCGGTGCTCAACAACGCCTTCTACCTGGAGAACCTGCACTTCACCATCGAGGGCAAGGACACGCACTACTTCATCAAGACCACCACGCCCGAGAGCGACCTGGGCACGCTGCGGCTGACGAGTGGCCGCAAGGCGCTGGAGAACGGCATCAACGTGACCGTGTCGCAGTCCACCACGGTGGTGAACGGCAGGACTCGCAGGTTCGCCGACGTGGAGATGCAGTTCGGCGCGCTGGCGCTGCACGTACGCTACGGCATGACGCTGGACGAGGAGAAGGCGCGCATCCTGGAGCAGGCTCGCCAGCGCGCTCTCGCCCGGGCCTGGGCGCGCGAGCAGCAGCGCGTGCGCGACGGCGAGGAGGGCGCGCGCCTCTGGACAGAGGGCGAGAAGCGGCAGCTGCTGAGCGCGGGCAAGGTGCAGGGCTACGACGGGTACTACGTACTGTCGGTGGAGCAGTACCCCGAGCTGGCCGACAGCGCCAACAACATTCAGTTCCTGCGACAAAGCGAGATCGGCAAGAGGTAACCCCCGGGCCACCCCTGCGCAGAGTCTCCTGTAGCACAATCCGAACCGGACTCTCCAAAAGAGCCTTCCAGAACGACACTGCTCTGCAGACCCACATCGCAGACACACACGCGACACAAACCAGAAACAAAGACAACTTTTCTGAATGACCTTAAAGGTGATCGGCTTTAAAGAATATGTTTACATACGCATATCGCTGCACTCATTTGGACTGGAAATATGAGAAGGGAAAAAAAAAGCATTAACGAGACAACGTTTTGCTGTGACCCTCTGTACTTTCGAGGCACTGTATTTAACAAAGGTTTTAAAAAAGGAAAAAAAAATGCGTCCAATGTTTCCAGATATTACCGAATTGTCGACCTTTGCTTACAGGAAGTAATCTCTACTTAGGATGTGTTATACATAGATCTGTCATTTTAAAGTGTGGGGCAAAAGTTACTGTTTATAGAACCCAACTACTTTCCCGTGCTACTTTGTAAAAGGACATTGGCACAAGGGACGTCTGCTTCGGCGGGGATTTAATAATGGATTTTACTAACATGGCTTGCCCTGGGAGGGAAAAACTGACAAAATAGAATCCTTGTCACTGATAAGCAAAGGAAACCCTGATTTTTTTGTAAATTATGTGAGACAAGTTGTTTATGGATTTTTATATGAATTACAATTTACTGTACATCAAATATTAGTCTCAGAGGAGTTAATTTATGTAAAGTGTTTAAAAAGTTTATACTTAAAAATAAAATGATAAAAACATGTGAACTGTGTGATTTTTTTAAAAAGGATTGCATCTTTTGTTATCTGTTATAACTGTACAGTATAACTTATTATATTGTAGAGATATAACAACTTATGCCTATAATGTCCAGAAGTGTTAATATTTTTGTATTAGGTTGGAAAAAAATGTGCAACTTTCTATCATGTAGACGGATAGGACCGTGCACTCCTGAATGGGTGGCTAATGAGAGAACTCCTTTCTCTTCCTTCTCCTTCCCAGCAAGCCAGTGTCCTCATGTGTTATCAATCAAGAGGCACAGTAGATATCCGAGGCAGGTAGAATGTGATGGAAGATACAGGGGAAAGGGAGGAAGGAACCGAAAACAACACAAGGGGGAGAAGGGGTTCTCTGACCCTCTCAGGACCCTAAAAGTCAAGCTGACTTACTCTACCAGAGCTTCGAATACTGTAGCGTTGTCCCTCGATGCTCCGCTTCATGATGGAGGAAAGAGACCACAATCTGATGCTCGGGAACCTTTGTGGGGAGGGAGGGAAGGATGTGATGTCATGGTCACCATGAACACGTATCTTAATATCTAGGAGAGACTGCAGAAACCGAGCAATAGTGAGCCAGGGAGCCGACCTGTCAAGGTCACTCTCTGTGAGTCTTAGAGTTGGTCAGCAACTGGGACCGGAGCAGGAAGGCAAAGTCCTGTAAGCCCACATGGCCCAACCCTCGTAGGGGCTTGTTTGAGTACAGCCTGTGCTGGCCAAGGGGAGCCTGGGTAGTGGGTGGAGTAGGAAGGAAACTGATGGCAGTACCCCTGACTGCAAGCTTGGGGTTCCACCATAGACACCATCTGCACCTCTCGTGCCAACCCAGCCGCTCTGACGAATCTTTCGGGAGCACTAAATTCAGCCACAAAAAAAAAAAAAAAAAAAAAAACATATTTTTAGAAAATATTTCTCAGTTCATTGAGCTATATAGTACGCACTGTTTTCCTCTATGTATAATGGTGATAAATATAGCAAGTGAACATGTCGTAAATATAAAGGTTCAAGTGATGTATTGAAAATAATTTTCTATCTGCTCTGTGTGTATCACATACTCTAAACTGCACAGTAGGCGTGTTTATCAAGCAGATTGGCTGGGGGAAGTTTCGAAATAGCTACTGAATTTACGGTTTCAGTGCTATCCCTGTTGCTGTGTATGTGGTAGGGCATACCGAAGTAATTAATCTTCTAATGAATGCTGATATTTTATTAGAATGAAAGCACAGATTAGCATTAATATTTTTTATCCTGGAAATCCTTTGGCAAGTACTAGGAAGCCCAAATTTAGAAGACTATGAGATTTCAAACCACGTAAACATGGCTCTGTTTGACATTTTATTTTTTAACTGTTATCTTAGGTGTTCGCAGTTTTGCTGAATGGGACTTCGGCAGGGCTGCGTTTAGCATGCTGTAAGTACTTTTGGGTGAAATAGGCTCCGAGTCTAAATTCTCAGAAATGTCTGTGATGTATTGACCATGAAAAGCGTGTCCCACGCGACGGAAGTGAAATTACACTCTTAACATCTTCTCCACGTGGACTGGTCTTTACAGGGGCACCAATAAATGACAGATTTGGAGAGTCTCCTGGTGCTTCTCTTAGAAGAAGTCAAATCAACCCAATTAGTGTCTTGTTAGTACGTGTAATGAGCCTATTTCTAAAAAGGCTTGTGGTCTGAACGTGCTTTTACAAGAAATAGTGACCTTGGGGAATATGTACACAAGAGATCTTTTTCTAAGAGTTGGTGGGGGGGAGGTTGGGGGGCTGTATAATGACAAGAATTAGCTTACAAAAACAAAAGAAATTGATATTCAAAGTATTTTAGGCAAAGCCAGTCAAAATGCTTTCATGATATTTTGAGATGTAAATTTTTGTCTGATTTGTATTGTTCTTTTCATTTGCCTTCTTAACTTTATATGTGACCTGAATTTTCCATAACTTGATGACTATAGATTGCATCTCGGCATTCCAATAAAAGCCAACCCAATGTGTGTGCGTTTATATATTTTTCTTTTCAAATCTGGGACTAGCCAGAATTGCTTTGGTGTTTGACGTGGATGCAGAAGGAGGCAGATCTTGGGGTGCTGATTCAGCGGTGACCCCACTGACGCGTGCTTTTATTACTGGTTTTTATTCTCTTGTTTTTGTATTTAAATCAAAATGACAGCTTGGAAGAGCGCCCTTCGCAGAGGACTCTTCCCTAGCCTACTGTAGAAAAATGTTAGCTACACCTCCACAAAGACACACTAGCTGGAAAGAAGAATTGAGGGGGAACAAAATCACCCATTACTACTTGAAAAGCAGGTCTCATTCCTGTGATGCTGGCGTTGAGTGTGCTTAATTAAAACACTTGATTAGAATAATCAGTTTGGGCCTGATAGGTTCTCAGCCTCCTGGAGATGTCTAAATCTACATATAGACCGACTGATTAGGGTTCACCTTGTTCAGCAATTCCAGGTTGACACTCCAAGGCTTTGATTTCAGTGTGAGCAGGCAGACTTCCCCTTGCTCGCTTTGCAGCGACAACCTCCACTTGACAACGGTGTGGATGTCGCAGGAATCAGGTCACTCCACTTGGCTAAAGGGTCTAGTTTCTTCTCAAATTGGAGTTTAATATGCTTGAGGCACGGGAGCCCAGAAAACAAACAAACAAACAAACGCCGTGGCTTCCAACCCTTCCTCTCTGCATTGCTTTCCCTCTCCGAGCACGCAGAAAGAACAGTAGTGGATGTGGATTTCAGATAAAGAACTGGGTACCGAGCGCGCCACTCTTGCAGTGAAGCGTGCATTTGTATTTACACCATTGCCTGTTTCCTAATGGTCACAGGAACCCTCAAGTCCTTGAAAGAAACGGTGATGAGAGGATCCTGCCTTCAAACCCCTGACCACGCCCACTCCTCTCCCTCCTTTCTTTGGTCTCAGCTGCTCCAAATGCAACCATTCCGCTCACCTGGTAAACAGCCAACAGGCTCTCTGAGTGAGGTGCTTTTGGGAATGGAGGAGTCCAGAAGAGAGAGCCTGAAGGCACTGATCCATGGCCTGCTCTGTCTGTGACCAACACCACCTGAGCAGCGTGCAGAGCTTACTGTACTTAGAGGTCACAGCCCACCCACGAAATGCCACCACCCAACCCAGGCTAGATGGAATGACATTTAGGCTCCTGTAGAATGAGTGAGGCTAGATCTCCTCTGCAAAGCCTGGAAGGGTAGTGTAGCAAGATCTTACCCCTTTCACAGATACTCAGACTCTATCACCCTGTCCTGAAAAAAGAAAGAAAGAAAGAAAGAAAGAAAGAAAGAAAGAAAGAAAGAAAGAAAGAAAGAAAGAAAGAAAGAAAAACTGAGCCCGGCCAAGCGCTCCGGTCCACGGCATGCAGTAAATTCTAGAAGGCAAGGGAGAGGGAACTGAGAGAAATTTGAGTAAGTTTCCACACTACTGTCCAAGTAGTGTAGAAAGAAGGCAAGTCAAAACAAGCAGAATTCTCTCTCAGGAAGCAGCCTTTCCTACCTTGCACAGTCTCCCGCTAACACTCCCCGGAAGGTGTTGAGGTACCACCACCCCTATCTGCATAGGTCGTGAGACACGTGTTGTGTGCTCTCTCCCACCTCCCAATAGTTCTGGCTCCTTGGCTCTGGTGCGGAGATGTGAGTCTTGCAAGCAATGCTAATGAATGCCCATCATTTCCAGAGGAAGGGCTGGAGATTTTCCATAGGTCGCCCATTTGGTCATCCTACCAAGGCCTTGGAATAAACTGCAGGCTGTTTCTGTCCTTCCTGCTCACCTGAACCACAGTAATAAGCAGGAGTCCTAAAGACAGGTTGATACGCTGCTGGAATTTTCTACCCTCTGCTTCGAGCCGCGTAGTGAATATTCTCGATTGCCAGTTCTCTCGTGTGTTAGTTCACCCCCTCTACAGCGGTCTCTTGACGTCAGTTAGTTACTAATAACTTTCAGGTAGACTGAGGAAACCTTTTCAGTTATGAACCGACTTAAAATCCTGCCATGGAGGGATACAGGATTCCTAGGGCCCTGTGTACAGAGAGTTTACTACCAGCCGATGCTGCGCTTAGAGGAACATCATTATTCAGTTTGGAGTTAATGGGCTCCACAAAGCAAATTTAATAAATCCTTCTGGGATCTAAGCAGAGGAGCATTAAAATTAGAAATATAAATTGTGACTTCTAGGGCAAGAGAGGTGCTTTGGCTGCAGCCTTCCTGCTTAGGGTGAATTGTGAGTGGCCACAGCCATTCGACCTGCATTAGTAAGGGAGGCCACATTCTTTGGCACAGGTGCGGAGAGTTCCTGAATTCCACCCACCCTAGCCGATTCCATCTGATGACGTAGCTCACTGCGTAGGATTTGCAAGTGGTCCTCTGGGCAGGAAGGAATTCTCTAAAGTGTTTGCAAGTTCACTTTATCAAGGGGAGGGGCACATCGGTGCCCAAGGAGGTAAAATGACAGCCTCTTCGCCATGGGTGAAGGCTGAAAACAGAACGGCTCAGAGGAAGTCCAAGGGAGCCACCAACTAGGCTCCCCCACCTCGGGTTCTTGTCACACAGTGGTTAAGCAACTGTGTAAGTAATGACCTACCCCATCCCAAACTGTCCTCCTAGTTAAATGGATGGGAAGTGAATTCTACCCATTGCAGAAGATACTCCTTAAAAAAAACGATGCTCAGCTCCCTGTCTCTGCATCCTCCTCCGTTCTTTCCTTCCTCCTCTTTTTCTGGAATGACCCCAGCAAGAGCTGCCTGGCATGTGACCAAAAAGATTGGGTCTGCTTTTCTTCCCCTTAGGAGGAAAACCATGCTGGTCCATTGATAAACCATGTGATTTTAACTGCTGCGGATATCACAGGGAAGGCAAGTCTTTCATCCCCAACTTATTAACAAAAGGTTATGAGCAAGCAGGTTTCAAAGTCTCACTTCAACGGTGACATTATCTCCAAGGTCAGGCCTGAGATTTCCGCGTCATTCTCAACCACTGAGA